TACCTTCAGCTTATTATCGAGGACAGCATTACGCTGTCAGCTGCATCAGTCTGTGTTTACATTATTATGTATCATTAAGCGTTTTTGAAGGCTTGTAAGACTTAATAATACTCGCGAATTACTCTTCAATGTTCCTTACATGACCTTCTGGATTTTTTATTTTTTTTTCTGAGAGCAGTTTGACTTGATAGTTACTTGTGATCTTGTTTGATGTCAAGGAAATTGCGCTATAGAAACGCTGTTTGAATAATTATATAGCATTTGGAGGAGAAATAAGGGCATGGAGCTGGGGTATGAGGACCAGGAGCTGGGGTATAAGAGGACCAGGAGCTGGGGTATAAGAGGACCAGGAGCTGGGGTATAAGAGGACCAGGAGCTGGGGTATAAGAGGACCAGCAGCTGGGGTATAAGAGGACCAGCAGCTGGGGTATAAGAGGACCAGGAGCTGGGGTATAAGAGGACCAGCAGCTGGGGTATAAGAGGACCAGGAGCTGGGGTATAAGAGGACCAGCAGCTGGGGTATAAGAGGACCAGGAGCTGGGGTATAAGAGGACCAGGAGCTGGGGTATAAGAGGACCAGCAGCTGGGGTATAAGAGGACCAGCAGCTGGGGTATAAGAGGACCAGCAGCTGGGGTATAAGAGGACCAGCAGCTGGGGTATAAGAGGACCAGCAGCTGGGGTATAAGAGGACCAGCAGCTGGGGGTATTAGGGCAGAGTCTTTCAGAATATTTTGGGGTTTTAACGGAGCAACGAGGAGGCCTGGTCGACGACCGGGCCGCGGGGTCGTTGAGCCCAGAAATAACCTCAAGGTAACCTCGACGGGAGACATCTCCCGTCACGCAGGGTGCAGTCGCACCTCCACAGATCTCCAGTATCAGCTCTTGATACTGGTAATGGCTCAAAAGGGCCACCACTTGCGGGCTATTCATGCCCGTGCCACCTCTTGGGTGGCTTAATCTTTATCATTCATCATTCAAGGTAACCTCAAGGTAACCAAGGAGCGCAGAAAAACACGACTGCTTCCTTCTCTACTTCCCTCAGACCTCAAGGGATTGAACGCCGCCCCTGCAAGAAGCGAGGCCGCTTCTGTACCTGTAAAATAGATGGCCAAGGCAGATTGCAATATGATGACATCATTTACATTCGCTGTTGGTTTAGAGAATAAACATTTAATTCTCAGCTTCGGCTTTATTCATTGTATCTTGTCTCTTGTCATATTTTTATGTCACTACATATTTATTTTATATCCCAATTCGAAAATTATAAGGCAATAAAGATTTTTGTGGGCGTTTATGAATGTATATGAATAAATATTTATATTTGTATTATATAAATATAAATATTTGTATTATATAAATATAAATATTTGTATTATATAAATATAAATATTTGTATTATATAAATATAAATATTTGTATTATATAAATATAAATATTTTTAGTATATAAATATAAATATTTATATTATATAAATATAAGTAAAATAAATGTTTTATTTTGACATTTAATTTAAATACTAGGATAATTATCCGTAGTTTATTAAAATAATAAAAAAAAGCAATCAGGAAAGAAACAAGGAGCAAACGACATATGTGGCTGGTTTACGGAGGTCCAAATGAGAAAAGGGAACACAAAATTATAATTCTTTTCAACTATGCGATGCAGAAGTGTATTATTAAGTTGTTTACGGGGTATATCTTCAGGGGCATTAGCTATCATATATGAGGCTATCGCGATGTTTGGAAGTGGAGGGAGCCGAAGCCGATGTTTAAATCCGGCTGATGACGTCATTATTTACAAAGGCATGAAGGCGGTTTGAAATATTTAAATTTAATGTCAACTAAAATAAACAATCACTGTAGAGTGCGATATAATACGTAATTTCAGTGCCAGAAGTTCAGTGTATTTAGTAAGAGATGCAAAGCAGTGTTACTGCTACTCCAGAATGAACTAAAATAAGTGAAACTGCTCATTTAGACAATTGTGTAAAGTGCAATATAATTAGACACAGGCGCCTAACCTCAGATTAATCTCAGACACATTATAATTAAGGACATTGATTGTTGAGGTACTGCGATTACCTGTCACGTATTGTCTTCAGGGTAGTTAACAAATGGAATTCATTAGGCAGTGATGTGGTGGAGGCAGACGCCATGCAGTTTCAACTGTAGATATGATAGAGCCCAGTAGGCTCAAGAATCTGTACACCAGTTGATTGACAGTTGACAGGCGGGACCAAAGAGCCAAAGCTCAACCCCTGCAAGCACAACTAGGTAAGTACATGCGGAAGTGCTGTGACACATTTTGGGAACGGCTTGACACGTGCTGAGACACTGTGACACATGTTGAGGACAGTGACACACATCCGAAGGCACTGTAACGCATGCTGGAAACACTGACATGCAAATATTGGGTTGGCACTGTGCCTCAGGGTTCCCCCAAGACCTCTCCTTAGGGGCGGATCTGTCTACACTAAACTGAAACAGGGAATGCTAATGCACTCTTCCTCCGCTGACTCCTCTTGTCTCCGTCCAAGCGCTCGGGTTCTTACGCCTCTCTTACGTGGGCGCTGACAGAGGCAGAGTATATTTGGGCGGGATTCTGAGCGTCTTTGACGGGTTTGTGATGTCATAACTCTCAATATGTATGTAAAGATCTCGGCGGGTTCCTTCCGCGTTGACTTTATGGCCACTAAAAGTAGTTCTTCGGCCGGTACAATGTTGGAGTGTGGTGGTGGTGGTGATGGCGGCGATGGTGACGGTGGTGGTGATGATGTGATGTGCTTCAGCGCGTCAATCCCCACGCCTACTGTCTCTGTACACATACACAAACCAGCCCGTCCTCTCGAGTTGTCACAACGGACAGAAAGTTAATATTTTGTATTTATTTTAAATCGCGAACGTTTGCGAGCCGCCATATTTTGTCCGTTGGGGGATTTTTGGCGCCAAAATCCGATGTACCATTCGAGAGTAAAGGTTGGATACAAACACGCCATCACAACCTTCCTCAGAATACAGCAGAGTTGGGCAGATGCCGGCCAGGAAACCTTATAAAGCCCATAACATAATTTTCCGCCAATTGCTTTATGGCGAGTTACATGGATCTCAGTCCAACTGTTGTCGGGGGGCGGGGGTGGGGTGGATTTTGGGAGGGAAGGAAGGGGGAGGGTGCGATAACGTTGGGGGAGAAGCGTCTCTGATAAAACGTTCTTGTGCGGTTTTATGCGGCGTTTTATGCGTTTTATTCTTGGGTTTATGTGGCGGTTTATACGTTTTATGCTGCGTTGCGAGCACGCGGGGCAGTTGTCGTGGAGTAATGGCCAGCATAAAAGTTTTACACGACTCCTTTACGGCCTACACCCGTCGAGTCGCATACAGGCTCCGTGGGTGGCGTGAGGTGTGGGTGACGGTGGGCGGCCGTGGGTGGTGTGAGGTGTGGGTGACGGTGGGCGGCCGTGGGTGGCGTGAGGTGTGGGTGACGGTGGGCGGCCGTGGGTGGCGTGAGGTGTGGGTGACGGTGGGCGGCCGTGGGTGACAAAGTTTACAAGGGACTAGGACAGGTTCACGCAGGAATAGGGAGACCAGCCCAGCTACTGGGACGGCCAGCAACAACCATCCCGATGGAATCATTACCAAAAGATCTTGGCCAGGGGCCAGGAGCTTTTGAATAAATAGAACTTTTATTTTTCTAGAAAAGCTCTTTTCTCTAAATAGAACTCTCGGTACTGGGTATAGGAAAAATTGGGTAGTAGGTGATGGAAGGAAGAATGTTTATGTATGTATGTGTGGGTGTGTGTGTGTGTGTATATATATATATATATACCAGCATATATATATATATATATATATATATATATATATATATATATATATATATATATATATATATATATATATATATATATATATAAATATATAAATAATATAATGCGCCAAACACACACCCTTTGGATGACTGAAACGCCATAAAATTCTTGACATGTTTTCAGCTCGTCCTCAGGATAACGTGATTACCACTAGATACAAACCCCCCTAAATACTTAACTACATATTTGAGATGGTCTGAAAGCATATAACTGTTTCAGTAATAGTTTACTTGTAAACTGGCAAGTGAACCTTTGTCCTAAACAGAGAATATACTCGAGTTATAACTTTATTTTATTATAAATCGTTGGTTTAAAATGTAAACAAATTATGGTTAGCTCGTTTTCTATGAAACAGTCTGAAGCTTAGGTTTTCTTTAAAATGAAGTTCTAGGGGCTACTCAAATAGTTTTCGAATTTCATATATAACATATTTGAGAAAAAATACACTAATTTAATGTAACGGACCATAACAAAACTTAACATTACCATAACCTAACCGAACCATGGATAGGCCATAGATAGGGTACATACCCCCAGAAGACAGAAGCATATCCTGGACAGTGTTGCCAGGGTATACTTGTGGCTGACTTCGAGAGGTGCTTTACTGTCGTAGCCATGCTTAAGGCTAGGCTTCCTCGCCGACTGCCAGCCATGACAACTTAGATGATCGTGTATTGAGTTGTCATTTGATAATATCAGTTCCAGCGGCATTCAATACATTTACAAGTACAAGGTTTAACCATCTTTAATAGGAGCACACGCGTGCGCGAGAGCTGTAGCAAGAGCAAGCCATCCAGCCGGTTTAAGTGTCTTTCACCCTGATGCCCCTGTTAAACAGGTACCTGGGAGTTAGTCAGCTGTCACGAGCTGCTTCCAATGGGTGGAGGGCTGGTCGAGGACCGGGCCGCGGGGACACTAAGCTCCTAAATCATCTCAAGATAACGAAGATTGAGGGGTGTGTGTATGTGAGTAAATAAGGTGACGGGTGCAGGTAGTGGTGGTGGAGGTACTGGGGTGGTGACGGTGTCAGGGGTGTAACCGACCATTACAAGAGGTGGCTGGTGGACTCTGGTCGTAACTTTGGACAACTTTTTACTGTCTTCAGTCTTGTTAAGTTACTGTCCTCGGGCGGTAATGGCCTGGGTTAGATTTACATTGTTGGGATCTTTATGCTCGCGAATTCATTGAGGTTTGCTATTAGTTTGGTCGGTCGGTCTCTCTCTCTCTCTCTCTCTCTCTCTCTCTCTCTCTCTCTCTCTCTCTCTCTCTCTCTCTCTCTCTCCCCCTCTCTCTCTCCTCTCCCTCTCTCTCTCTCTCTCTCTCTCTCTCTCTCTCTCTCTCTCTCCTCTCTCTCTCTCTCTCTCCTCCTCTCCTCTCTCTCTCCTCTCTCTCTCTCTCTCTCTCTCTCTCTCTCTCTCTCTCTCTCTCTCTCTCTCTCTCTCTCTCTCTCTTCTCTCTCTCTCTCTCTCTCTCTCTCTCTCTCTCTCTCTCTCTCTCTCTCTCTCTCTCTTTCTCTCTCTCTTCTCTCTCTCCTCTCTCTCTCTCTCTCTCTCTCTCTCTCTCTCCTCTCTCTCTCTCTCTCCTCTCTCTCTCTCTCTCTCTCTCTCTCTCTCTCTCTCTCTCTCTCTCTCTCTCTCTCTCTCTCTCTCTCTCTCTCTCCTCTCTCTCCCCTCTCTCCTCTTGTGGGAACCGACCTGTGAGATTTATATTTATTTAATTTATATGAATTTATATTTACGTTAATTTATATACTTCGATAGCAATTTGTATAATGATAAGTGGACTCTATTTCTGCAATAATCTCATAATCTCACAAATCGATCCTCTACACATTAGGGGGGGTTTATATTAATTTAATTTATATATATGCAGCCAATCAAACTACAGTATTAGACTACATACATTGAAGAGGTTCCTTATCTTATAGTACAGCAGGTTAGTCCACCAGGTATAACTAGGTTGTAGACACCAAATTATCCTCTTGGAGGTAGCTTCCATCACCCAGTAACTGGTGCACAAAGTCTTGCTTCCTCGTCTTGACCTGTCAAAAGGGCGCTAGCTGTAAAGCCAGAATCCTATATATGACAGGTATATCAGAGAACACTGTACATGGAACCTTAAAGACCTGGCTAATTACCTTTAGTTTGAGGCTACCACGTGCTCTAACCGGCTCACCCTATATAATGACATTAATGGCCATAAATGAAAGATACATGGGTTTCGGAAAGAACACTTAACTTGAATTTGTTGACAGCGTGTTGAAGATGGTACACCTTTGGTTTCCATAACACTACGTCCAAGTAAAATTAACAGGAGCCGTATTTGCTCCCGTGAGCCTCTGGTCTTAGTATCAACAATGGCTGCCCCCTTTCCTCACTGACGCCTGGCCTACATTGTCCAGATGTCAATAAGTGATAGAAGGGTCACATTTACTCTACTTTAATATTGATAATTAAGTTAATTTATATGAGATGTTTTTATGATGGTAAAGTCCAAAGACTAATGTATTTAAGAATAATTCCCAGCAGAATAGCTGGTGAATTTATAATGGTATGTGGTGATGATATCCCGTTTTCTTTAGACGGTAATTCCACTACAAGTTACGTTTTCTATGGGTTAACTTATTTATACAACACAGCAGTTATCTGTATGATATTAAATGGTGTCGGATTTTCCGACACCTCTCTCTCCTCTCTCTCTCTCTCTCTCTCTCTCTCTCTCTCTCTCTCTCTCTCTCTCTCTCTCTCTCTCTCTCTCTCTCTCTCTCTCTCTCTCTCTCTCTCTCTCTCTCTCTCTCTCTCTCTCTCTCTCTCTCACACACACACACACACACACACACTCACACACACACACACACACACACTCACTCACTCACGTGAAGGCCACCAACACCAAGTGTGTCTTCACATTATTTAAGCTGCACTCGTGTGTAATATTTCTTAAACACTCCACATTGTACCTCCAGGAGGTCTCTAGCTTTGTTCTCTCTCTTATTTCTGTGTTTGGTACCTTCACTGCAAGTTCTTCACTGCAAGTTCTTCACTGCAAGTTCTACACACGCATATACGCTATTAAGTGTTAGTTTTAAGAATTACCACTATTCATTTAAGTCTTAATTCACTCATTATTTCCAGCAATTAGTGGCTTTATATAATATATAAATAAACTACCTACTTATTAATCACTTTAATTAATCCTTTGTGTACCTTTTAATCAATGTTTCATATTATTATTATGTATAATTTATTATTAATGTCTATGCATCTTGAAGACGTGAGACGTTTGAAGTTACTGTGTTGGTCGTCTCGAAAATTATTTATTGTTTTGTGTGTAAAGTTATTTTGATGTCTTTTAACGCTTTCGTATACCACTTTGAGAGGCACTGATGGATATTTCTGTTGTTGCAGGTTTCTGACGCGGAGTCTGACCTCTTCAGAGCGACTAGCAAAGGTGAGTTGACGGTCAGAATGAAGCAGGACTTGTGGAGCGATCTCTTCCTTCCTCTCTTGTAGTTGAAGTGCGCTCACCATGCGCACTACACCTCATGCGCTCACCATGCGCACTACACCTTATGCGCTCACCATGCGCACTACACCTCATACGCTCACCATGCGCACTACACCTCATGCGCTCACCATGCGCACTACACCTCATGCGCTCACCATGCGCACTACACCTCATGCGCTCACCATGCGCACTACACCTCATGCGCTCACCATGCGCACTACACCTCATGCGCTCACCATGCGCACTAAACCACCTCATACATTTCGGTGTCACTGGCTCCATCCCACATTTCTCCCACTCTCCACGCCACATATTCCAAACCCATCACACCCCTACATAAACACATTTCACACTACATACTCCACACTCCATCCTCCTGTTCCCCACATACACACTCCACACCACTCCCTAACACACACACACACACACACACACACACACACACACACACGCGCACACGCGCGCGCGCGGACGAACAAGGGGTGGAAACTGAGTACCCACATGAGCCACAGGGATGTTAGAAGGAACTTTTTCAGAGTAGTTAGCGGATGGAATGCATTAGGCATTAATGTGGTGGAGGCTGACTCCATACACAGTTACAAATGTAGATATGATAGAGCCCAGTAGGCTCAGGAATCTGTACACCAGTTGATTGACAGTTGAGAGGCGGGACCAAAGAGCCGAAGCTCAATCCCCGCAAGCACAAATAGGTGAGTACACACACTAAGGTGTGCCACATGTGTGTGCCAGCGGTGTGCGAGAGGTGTGGCCACATGTATGTGCCAGAGGTGTGCCACATGTGTGTGCCAGAGGTGTGCCACTGGTGATACATTACTAAAGACACGGGGGTTGAGCCAGTGCAGGCAGGTATGGCGCCAGGTGTCGTATATTATTCCGTGACAGTTGCTCTGGCTATAAGGGGCGAGAAACGTGTGTAATACTAACTTGCAGGTGTGATGATTAGCGATGGTGCTAAAGATCCTCAGGGCTGACCAGGTGATGAACCGGGCAAGAAAGCAACTGGTCGCCCAGAAGGAGAATGGTAGGGAGAAAACGCTAAGCCATCACGACTATATAATACTTGGAAGCGATTAGGATAAGAATTAGGGATGGGATGGAGGTGGAAGGAATGGTGCCCAACCACTTGGGACGGTCGGGGATTGAACGCCGACCTGCATGACACCAGACCGTCGCTCTACCGTCCAAGTGGTTGGAGACACTTAGGGAAGATGACTTCATCCTTCATTGCATACTTACGCCATTCTCGGGCTTTGTGCCAGTGAGTGTCTTGGCTTGTCACTGTACCTAGCGAGCGCTGGGCGCAAAAACAGACACAAGATGATGGATGGTGGAGTTAGAAGCAAAGGCGGCCATACACATTGTTGACAGTCGTTAACTGCGCTGCTAAAGTGACAGAGGCTAATTAGGCGAGTGGGCTGAACTGACTAAATTATAGTCTCAGCTACATATTGCACTTTTTCTGATTTTTTGGAGTAATGGATTTGGAGGTGATGAACTCTAGCGTCACCAGAGGTATTGGAGGTTGTGTGGGGGAGAGGGTGAAATAAAGTGAAATAAGGTCAGTAAAGGTGAGATATATTTACCTATGCAGCGGTAGGAAGCAAAGTAAAGCGAGTTTGGGAACTCTGGCGACATAAATTAGAGTGAAAAGTGTCGTAAAGTAACTCATGAGAAGGTTAATGGGGTGTGCGGGAGAGCTGTTGGGGATGAGAGGAGGGGGGGGGGGGTTGTTGGGGGCTGGTCGGGGGACCCATGCTGCCCCCCCCTCCCCCCAGCTTCAGCCTCATCCGCCAGATTCACCTCCTGTTCCCCCCCCCTCCTCAACCCCAGAAGCGCCCATTTCTTACCCCTCACCCCCAGGTGCATCTCTCTCTCTCTCTCTCTCTCTCTCTCTCTCTCTCTCTCTCTCTCTCTCTCTCTCTGTCTGTCTGTCTGTCTGTCTGTCTGTCTGTCTGTCTGTCTGTCTGTCTGTCTGTCTGTCTGTCCAAACTGTGTGCTTCACTGTGAACTGATGTAAACAGTCCACCACCTCCCAGGACCCCCCACCCCCTTGAATATGACACAAACTCCTACTTGCATAATACATCTTGAGATGCTCGCAAGTAAAGTCTGCATAATACATCTTGAGATGCTCGCAAGTAAAGTCTAATATTGACTTGCACTCAAATATACATGTTGCCATTCATACAATTTTGCAGTCATATATATCGATCATTTTTCTTGTTAATCAAAGAGCTCCACGTTTAGTGTCCATCCATATTGGGAGTAGCTCTGAATATTAGCTCAAATGTCAAACAAATTGGGTATAAAATATCATTTGTTGGCTAGTGTCTCTAGTTTTTATTGGGAACCCTTGTTAGTGCTGGGGTGTAATAGACGCAGCTGAATGCAATTTACTGCTTGTAGATTTGTCTTTGATATACAATGTAGCGAAGATTCCTGTAGCATGCTGCCATTTGTTAAGAGTTTCAGGATCGGATTGGTCTACCGTTACCTGTGGCAGGTGGCTGCAGGTGACGATTCTCCCAATCCTGAGCACTCCAGGTGCTAGCTCTGTGAGCAGGAACTGGCGGCATGATCTCACACACACACCACATTGTTCAGTCATTAGACCCTTCAGACCTGGTGGTATGAGGTAGCTTTGCAATCCCTTCATTTACTCTCATGTTTATGAGGATATGGCCTTATATGACTAACCATCCTGTATATTTTGAATTTTTTTAGCATCACGAAACTAGTTCTTGACACATTCTGTACTCCTCCGTCCCTTCATTTAGTCTAAGGTAGCGGCATAAATGCAGATGTACCGAATATGTTAATAAGAATGAGGTGGGATGTGTGTGTGAAGATAAACCAGGGAGAAGAGGCATGTAGCAGGGTACACCCGCAGCGCCCGTGCCATAAATGAAGTTGTAACACAGTTGCTGTGTCTTGATTGATTGATTGATGAAGATTAAGCCACCCAAGAGGTGGCACGGGCATGTGTCGCTCGTAATGTCTTGTGTTGTAATAGAGCAAGTGGGTGACAGGAGGGTGTGGTGTGGGGCGAGTGTGGATGAAGACGGGTGAGCGGCAACACAGTACATGCTCAGGGGGTAACAGACTACAAGAGACTGCATATGGGTGAGTGATGGGGCGAGGAGCGTCTCGGTTATGTGGGCGGTTAGCCAGCTTATTGCTGCGTGTCCTGCCCACTCAACCAACATTATAAATGATCTATCCAACATGTGCCACTTCACCACCTGCCAGGGGCGTCACCACCTGCCAGGGGCGTCACCACCTTCCAGGGGCGTCACCACCTGCCAGGGGCGTCACCACCTTCCAGGGGCGTCACCACCTGCCAGGGGCGTCACCACCTTCCAGGGGCGTCACCACCTGCCAGGGGCGTCACCACCTGCCAGGGACGTTACCGTCTGCTAGGGGCGTTACCACCTGTCAAGGGCGTTCCCTAAACACTGACAGAGTCTGGCTGGCTGGTTGGATAAGCAGATGATGGCCGAGTTTGGCGAGGTCCCTTCGGTGTAAATATAGAAGCTATTTAGATTGTAATATTGATGTTTAAGTATGATGGCCAGGTTTTCCGATCTGCGATAACAGCGCAGGTTATCGTAGTGTGTGCGTCCCACTTTCAACCGCTTTGTTATTTGCGTTCAGATCCACGAGACGTGCACAGTATAATCTTAAAGAACGTTATCTCATACTGTACATTTTTATTGAAAATAGCATCAGAACTCTTAGGAAATGGATCTGTCACCTCACTGTTGCAGAGTTACAAACCCATTAAGATTTCAACTTAGATTCAACAGAGCAGAAGTTGTTAAACACATGGGGCAAAATCTTACTGAAGCGACCATACGAGTCATAAATACTCATTCTCCGCCCAAGTAAAACAGCAACAAGCACCACTTAGTGGGCCAGCCAGAGGCTTAGGGCCCGCGCAGGAATATCCCTGCAAAAATCCTGTTTGTTTACGGTGTGGTACACCGTAAACAAACGTACACAGCCATATTAACCTTCGGGTTATGCATCCTGGTGTTGTTTAGCTCCAACAATAGACATAGCCACACACACAATTACTGGACGACGGAGCCACCGGAGTGCACGGAGGGGAATTGTGTGACACCCCCGGTGCGGATTCAGTGGAAGCCTCGGGAATCCTCGAGGGTGTAGTAGTACCCCAGGTTGCAATTCTTTTTACCATGTCGTGGCGTAGTCGTTTAGAGCGTGCATCTGGGAATACCCATCGCATAGGTTCGAATCCTCATCACGGCTTCTGTGGACTTTCTCAACAGACGAAGCCATTCGATTGCAATGGAAACTAACTTTAGTACACTTCATCTACTCTCCATGGGCAGGGATAGATATCTGCCACACAACGGTTATGTAGCACTCGAGAATACAGTCATTGCATTTTACGACTTATCGTGCCAATGGCGGGGCTTGGGAGCTGATGTTTAACCGTGCAAGCACAGTCAAGTAGACACCAGTTAGGCGAGTACATCTCTGTACTTTACACACAATGTTAGGTACATTAGGCTGTTGTCATCTTCGATTTGTTGTTGTTGTCCAATAATACAAACTGTGGAGTGATATGCAACAGTCTTTGGTTGTATTATGTACATATGTATGTATGAGTATGTTTACATGTATATATAACATTAATCATTGTGTAACTAGCGTCAAAAGATTGTTATTTGCTTAGCTAAACGAACTAGAGGGTTCAGTTCTTGAACCGATTCTGTGCCTCTGTAATCCTTTACACCACCGCCCACGGGATGGGTATGGGGTGCATAATAAAGAAAGAAATTAAATTTGACGTATAATAATGTTATATGTTATCTTAGCAGGAGGATGGGCTGCCAAGTAGTGCGCGTCAGTACTATTTTATAGATATATTAAGTTATTGTATTATGTGTTCCTTG